ATTGTTCTGCAGTTGTGACTTGTTAAGCTGCCATTTTTCGCCCCCTCCCCCCCCAAATATGTTCTTGTCCACCATAAGCTCGATGCTTTCACAGCGTAGGTGGTGTACTGGAGAGAAGAAGCAAGCCATATGCCGTAATTTCTGGGTCTGGATTTCATTTCTACTATTAAAACTCTCAAAAAAATGCAGTATCTCAGTCAGTAACTGGTCTAAGCTGCTTCTAGAAATGAGGCTTTATTTGTGGGAAACAGTGGATTTAGCAGCACTGCATGCAGCTCAGGGATTTGCAACTACTGCATTGGCTTCAGTTGCTGAGTTGGGTGTATTCCAGCTGCTTGGCAAAACCTTGCACAGCCCCACTGAAGCAGTGTGCTTGCTTCTGCTGAAGGCTAAACCTTATCTTAGGAGAGGCCTCGAAATAGCCCGAGTACAAGCTGAAGACACGCTTTCTTTGGAAAACAACAGCAATAAGCATTGGGATGCTTCTCCCCTCGTTTTCACTTATTTTGGGGACCAGCGAGTCGCCATTATTCAAGGAATGGCTGTGCAGTTAGTAATCCACCCTGTTAATATTTAATTATTCTTGTCTATCTATAGCATGTTTACTCTGAAGCCTGTAGGTGTAAACTACTCTCTGCAGTTCTTTTGCACAGTGGTGACTTCAGACGCTTAAATTGCTTTGTTTTGGAACTATGCAAGAATTGGTAGAGCTCGGGAGTACTGATGGTAACTTAAAACACTCAGGGGGCAGAGAAGGCAGACTCAGACTTTCAAGTGTGAACTCCCGATGTTAGCTCAGACTTGAATAAATACATCTCTAGGTAATGAAATCTCTTCACAGCATCTAATTTGGTTACTTACATGTGATTAAATGTGTTCACAATGAATTATTCTAAGCATTCCAGAAGTGAGAAGACTTTATTTAAATTACTGGCTTTCTCAAGCTGTAAACTAAACACAAGCTTCCTAAATGATTGTGTAATGGCATGCTGCTGCTAATGTTGCAGGTCCTTAGACCTGAGAGAGTTTCTTCAGAAAACTGAAATCAACTTTCAAAGCAGCTATACTGTATCTTCCTCTAGCTGAACCAAGTCTCTGTTAGAGTATGGTAGTCGCCTTTTGTTTGTATATACACATACACTTTATAAAATGTGTATACATTTATATAAAATAAAAAATAACTTTTATTAAAGATGAATTTAAGAAGGCTTCTGATATGTAGCAATTTCATGTGACTACTTACACCTGCTAACCAGTTGCATTGTTTGATCAGGACATCAAGCCGATGAGGGACCAGATTGTCCGGGTGAAGAGATACGAGAAAGTTCCTCTGATCCTAGTGGGGAATAAAGTGGATCTGGAGTCGGAGAGGGAGGTCTTATCTGCAGAAGGCAGAGCCCTGGCTCAGGAGTGGGGCTGTCCCTTCATGGAGACGTCAGCCAAGAGTAAAACAATGGTGGATGAACTGTTTGCTGAGATCGTCAGGCAAATGAACTATGCCTCCTTGCCTGAAAAACAAGATCAGTGTTGTACAACTTGCATCGTCCAGTGAGAGAAACTAAGAAAAACCTCAATCATGGCCATACAGAGCAGGTTGGTGGAACAGTCGTAAGTAATTGAGATGCATAAGCATGCTGTTTAAGGAAGCAGATAAAGTCTGACAGGGAGTCTGAAATTAAGTAGTCTAACCTGGAGGAAGCCTTCCTCTAAAGGTGATGGAAGCTTGTGCATTCGGTTGCACATGATTACTTGGGTCAAATGGACTTCTTGCGTTACTTCAGTAGGGTTAGTCAGGGAGCGTTGCGTTTACCTGCAGTAATTTTACAATGAGACAAATTATATGATCTCATCCCCACCTGTTTTGACTGTCAGTGCTGTATTTGACATTACATTATCCTTAATAATGTTTTGTGATGCTGCAGTGGGTTTCGTTACTGGTTGTAGTTGGTATCGGGATTATTTTCAATGGGAATTACCTTGGCGTTCAGTGGGATTCTTGTGACCAAGTTTCCCAGCAGTTTTGTTGAGAAGACTTTGAGCTTACTTAAAAAAAATAAATAAATTCTATGGTACAGAAACTGAATGTACTTAACATTTCTGCCTTATCAGTGGAGTAAGTTTTAAAAGAGAACCACCCTGAGTTGTGAGGAGTGGCTTGAAGCCCACGTGTACTAGTCAAGGACGTGTTCAAAGTGCTCTTCATCTAAAATTTCCAGAGCAGAGAACACACTATAAAATGGCTTCCCAATGCAAGACTTTCCTTTCCCAGTGACTCATAAGAGGTGTGGCAAGAGTGCAGTGTTCGGAGGGGCCTCTCTAAAGCTTCCCCTGTCTTGAGTATTGCTCTGGCTTTTGTTTATTTCTGCAAGGATAGCTGCTCTTGGCCTTTCACATGTGTGGTGGTCTTTTTCAGTACCTTTTTCACCTGATTGTGTAAATGGATCTGTTCCTCCCCTGCACACAGCAGCACTGTCGTTCCTGTGCGAGGTGGTTCTGGGCTCCCCCTGCTATTGTTTTTCCTCGTAGCTGTTGCAGGTCTGGTTTCACTATCTGCTTGAACCCATGTTACTGGAAAGGACTCTCCTACACTGTTGGTATGCTCTGCATGCAGCCAGCTGGTCCATCAGACCTTCAGTTGTGCCTGTCTTGGCAAACAGCTCTATGTGATCTCTGAGAGCAAGTTCAGGGATGAGGGAGGACATGCAGATTCAGGGGAAAGAGCTGCCCCTCTTGATGGCAGCACTGGTTGAGGCTTAGGCTCTGACTGCCGTGTTAGTTGCTCTTGCTTGAGTCAAAGGCACTTTTTGTCTGCGTGACAAGAGGGAAAACAGGTAATTACTGGAAGCTTTGGACTATGTATCCTCTTTAATCTTGAGTGCAAGGTCAGAGAGTGAAATCTCAAAGCTTGTCTTTGAGATTGTCATCAAGTGCTTTGTGAATGTAAAATTTTAGATACTTGTGACCCCAGCACTGTCATGCTAAAGATGATACACGATGTTTTTATCTCCAGTTCTGTGAAGTAAGGAAAGGCTGCTGTCACTGTGGAAGAGGTGTGTTTAAGTTCAAGATTTGCTTGCTGAAGGGTGAGCAAGCTGCTTGTATCGGGGCAGAGAAAAATACAAATAAAGTCTTTCCTTGTGCACTAATCACTAACACCTGCAGAGCCTTGTAGGATTATAGGAAGGAGTAAAGAAAAGGAATTACTGCTCTTTTAACTAAGTGCTTACAGGGTTAGTATCTTGTCACTTACAGTAATGCAGTTTCACCTAGTTCTAAGGCAGCTTTGCAGGTAAGAGTATCTGGACTTAAAGTATCATGCCAAAGGTTGTGGCAGTGCCCTGGGCTACTAGTGTTTTGTCTTGTGCAGGTTGCTGTCTTCAGCTCTGACAAAATCAGGCCCTTTATCCATGAAATCTATACTTCCAGAAGTGGATACTTTTAAGGGAGGCTGGGTTTAGCATTAAATATCAAGTTTCATCTTAAGGTGGAATTGAGGCGGGGGGCAGGGCTGTGTGTATTCCTTTGAATCCTAACTGATGCCTAGATCTGATGAGTTTCCCAAGCAAAGCATGCTCTTGCTTCAGAAGAAACATCCTTATTGTGTCTTTGTGATCTCTTGAGGTAGAGGATCCTAAGCTTCCATAATACAGATTTCCTCTCCATTCTGCCTAGCTCATAACGTCACATCTAGCAGCAGAACACTTCCTTGCTTCTAGGAGATGCTGCTTCTGCCCAGTGTGATCTCATCACCTGTGCCAAACAAGTAAGCCTTTCCTTTCTAAGCAGTTTCCTATTCAGTCCAGATACTACCATGTCTGGAACTTCTGTTACTCGTCCTGGTTCTTCACAGGCTTCATGCTACCTATCTTTCATTTCAGCCTCACACTTCTGGGGTAATCTCTTCTTTCTGGCTCCCACTCTATCCTTGTTCTTTGATTGAGTGGGTGTAGGATCTCATTAACTTTTGGTAAGCCTTTGCTGCCTGATAATTTCTGATGTGCTCTAGTGTAGAAGAGCTGCTGATAGTGTCTTATGATAGCTGTAATCAGCTCTGTAATTCTTCTGCTTATCTGTGATCCAGGGAACGATTGCTGCTTCTCGAGCATCTGCTCTAGCAGTGACCCCTCCTAGGTAGAGTGAAACTGAGGAAGTGGAACCAGCTGTCTGAAAACCTCTATGTAGGAAGTGGGCTTGAACTGTAGCTCTGTCCTAGCATCGTCTTCCATAATCTCAGAGTTCTGAGACCTGTCGGTGTCCAGGAGGAGTCTTAGGTCTGGACCAGTTAGTTCAGACTGAAGTACATAGGAACTGTTTGCGTCTCTACAGTTCTGATGGAGAAACCAATGGGAGGGGTGGGGGGTGGGTTATATGCTGGACCTGGTTTTATCTAAGGCTGTTTCAGTGTCAGTTTTAACTAGCAGGTACCACTTAACCTCTTTTTGGTACTGATAGCTCAGTCTGTCTGTCAAGTACGATGTTTTGTATGTTCTTTTGTGACACTTCTGAGTAGCACTTGCTAAATTACTCAACTGTCTTGAGTGAGACGAAGAATGGAACGTAGCTATGTAATCAGGATAACCCATAGTTCCTTTTAAAAACGTGGTTTGTTCTTGCATCCTGTTTTTCTCCCCCCTTCCCCTTTCCTGCTTCTGCAGTGGTCTGACATCTCATTATTGCATTCAGAGATGTGAGATTTCCAGTAGCTGCTCTCTGTTCCTTGCTCTAGTATTTCTCTTGAATTCTCAGTATAGCAGTGTTTTGTGTTTTAAATCTTTAGAACACAGCACCTGTTGCAGTGCTGGTGTGTTAGGTTTTCTGTAGAGGTGTTAATTGGATTGGGAATGCCTTAATATTGGGATGAAAGACTGATGCTGCCTAGTGATTTCTCTCCCCTCCATACATGAGTAACTGATACTAGCAAGCGCTGAAGGAAGAGTACTCTTCTTTACGGATAAAAACTGAAAGTCTGCTGTCTTCTGGTCGTGTGGCTATGCAGCCCAGACAAATTTATGCTACTAGATTGTCTAACATTCCCTTCTCTCCTGCCTGCTCATAGAAGAGAATAGAGTGCTGTAGAAATTTCATGGGCAAGTGAAGCCAGGTAAGGTCCAATATGGTGCTAATTGTAGTAACTAAGCACAAATTAAATGGAAAGATGACAAATCTGAATTGGGAGGTCCCTGACCTGCAAATACAGGGATGCTGAAAAAGCATGTGGAGGAAAATACCATTACTTGCTTTCTCTGTTCTTATTATCCCTAGCAATTGTTTGTTTGCCGCAGCACTGGATGCTGAATTTAGGTGAAGTTTTGGGATGGTTCTGACTCTGGTAGGATGAGGAGCTACACTGTAAATAGTTTGCCTCTCCTGTGCTCTAAGCAAAGATAAAACACCTAGTAAGCAGGTTTAATCCATCCCCATTAAAAGCTAAATGTTTGTTTGCTGTTTTGACAGTACAGGGACCCTCCCCATCTAACACTATGCAACACTGGGGACACACACACACACGACACAACACGTGCTCACTAGGCTGGGTGAGAATTACTGTTTGTTGGAAAACATACAAGCAAAACCTGGCTGTTTGCTCCTGTCAGCACAGCAGTACTGCTCCTGAACATTGGCAGTGTTGTTAGGCAAGAAGGGGAACCCTGACTCTGTCAGAGCACTCTGTTGTAGCAAACTTAATTGAGAGCAAATCAACAGCTGAAAAGAAACTGTACAGTAGGAGATGTAAGGTCCTAACTCCTATGAAGAAATGACTTCAAGAATAGACTCATCAAAATCCCTGGAAAGCCAAGCATCAAGCTTCAATGAAGCGTGCGCCATGTGCGTATGAAGGACAGGTTTCTATAGACTTTGAGCTTTGACTGAGGCTTTTAGGATATCTGTGCCAGTAAATCTTGTGAAGTGCAAGTTATCAGAAACACAAAGATGTATTGGTCACACTGGTAGTGCTACTTACATTTGTGTGCTGCATTTAGAACAGTGGCATATGATTCTGTTCCTGCTGGGGCTAGGTTTGAATGCTAAGGGGTTTTATAGTGGTAATTTAGAGGATCTGAATGCTGAGAACTTGGATGTCAAAACTGAATTAGTCGTCTCATCTGCCTATTCCCAGAACTTGTGCAAAACACCGTTGCTTCATGTTACTGGGGCATGTAGTGCCTCTTCACCGCCAGTGCAAACCCTGGTGTATGTATCCCTGTAGGGAGGACTTAAATTGTCTAGCTGTTTCAGGTCTTTAGAAGCAATTTAGTATCCCACAGGGGCAGCTGTTATGAAGTTCATAGTGATACGTTGTTACCTGCTTGCCTTGTATCATCAGAATTAGAAGGGGAGAACTTGGAGAGTGCTGCTGTGTAAAGCAGTGCTTTGGAACTCAGTGTGGAAAACAAACTTCTATGCTGTGGGAGAGGTTGAATTCACTTTGAATGTGCATTGAATATGACTTTAGTTATTTTGTTTAAATTGCAGATAAAACTCAGAGGAAACTTGCACAGATGCTGCTTTGGAGAACTTTCAGCCCAGGTTGCAGAGCTGAGCCTTGGTAAACCTGTCTCTATTACAGCACATTGCCATATGTCTAAGTGCATAAGGTTGGTGGCCTCCAGGATCCACACACCTTAATCAGAATGCTTAGCATGTTTACCATAAGTTTAAAAATCTGTTCTTTATCTATCAGTCCTTTTATAGCTTTCTAAGTTCATATAATGGC